AAAAAAAAAAAAAAAAAAAAAAAAAAAAGAAGCAGCCTACACCGCTCAGCCTCCAGGTAAAGCAACCGGTGGGGCGTGCGGTAGGGGCACAAAGGCAGCTGGGGAGACTGGGGACAGAGGTGGAGGCATGGGGGGGGCAGAGGTGAAGGCATGGGGGGGACAGAGCGCTGACTGCAGCCCCTCCCACAGCCCGGAGTCCCGGTTGGAGTCCTGACCCCACTTACAGATGATGTCAACCCTCCCCTGGCCCCCATCCTCTGCTCCACCTGGACCCAGGAAGCAGGTTACCTGCTGCAGCAGCCCGAGGGCCCTATCAGCCCCTCCGGGGCCTCCCCCTTCCTCCCGGCACCCCGGGGGGCAGATGGGGCCCTTCGCCACTGTGTCATGAGCAGAAAGCGGCCTGGGGTGTCTCGGTTCTGGTCCCGGCCTTGCGGCCTCAGTTTCCCCCAACCCAGTGGGGCGACGCCAACCCTCTCTCACCATCCCTCTATTAACGGTCACTCCAAGGAAAGGGAAACTGAGGCAGGGACAAGGCTCCCCGACAGGCCCCTCCCCCTCCCCGTCCAGGCCCCAAGATCCCGCGGAGTTGCCGGCGGGGCCCGCGCCGCAGGTGGGTGTGGTCCCCTGCCAGCTGTCCCCGCCCCACAGCCGCGGAAGGAGAGCGTGGCTCGGTGCGGACATGGTGGGGGGGGCGCGGGGCGCCGGGACCTGAGTCCGGCCTGGCCGCCCGCCGCACTCACCACGCTCCGCGCCGCTCCGCGCCACCCGCAGGCTCAGGGCCAGGCCGAGCACCGTCCAGGGCAGCATCGCGCGCGACGGGACGGCCACGCTCAGCCTCCGCTCGTGGCTCGCTCGCTCCTGAGCTGCGGGGCGCGCGGCCGAGCGGGCCGGACCCGGGCCCCGCCCCCTGGGCCCGCCCCCGGGAGCCCCCGCCCACCGCGGCCCAGCCCCGAGGTTCCGCCCTGGCGCGCGCGCAACCCCGCGTGCGGAGGAGCACCGGCTCCGGGGAGGCGCGCGCACAAAGGGCCCAAACGTGCGGGGACACGCGGCGCTCACCGGGATGCCGCCGAGGCACACGCGGGTGGCATGCACACACAGACACTGCGGTCTCCCTTTCCGGCTGTAAGGCCTTGGAGTCAGCCCCGTCCCCTATCCCCTGCCCCCAGACCCCAGCCAGGAGCCGAGCAGGGAGCCACCAAGCTGGGTCATCCCTAGGCCCGCTGCCCTTGGCTCCTCAGTGTTTGGAGTCCCTGAAGCCAAGCCCAAGAGAGCCCCAGGGGGTATGAGAGTGTGTGGGTGACACCAAAAACAACTTCCCCCCAACAAGTCCCAGGCTCTGGCCACAGAGACTGGGGAGGGGCAGGTGTATGGGAGCTGTGACATGTTCCTCCAAGGAATGACCAACAGAGATCAGGAGGGTGGAACTTAGAAAGGAGACATGGCGTCGGGAGGGGAAAGAAGCCTGAGACCTTCAAGGGGGAGCTTCCGGGGGGACACCTCACCTGGCTTCTTAGAGGAAGAGGCATAGGAGCTGAGGATGGCTGGTTCAGGCCTGTCCAGTGTGATCATGCTGGGCATACAGCTGTCCCCATAGGCCCTGCCCAGTGAGGGGCCCAGGGCTGAGGCCAAACTCCGGGACTGAGGACAGAACCCCACAAAGCAGCCCACTGGGGAAACCCTCCACTGTGACCAGGAGCTGCGTATCTGGGATCTTGGCTAGACCAGAGCAGAGGTGGTTGGCTGCAGGGGACATCCTGAGGGACACTCAGTGCCCCCAGGGCAGATTCCTTGCCCTTAGGTGAGATAGGGCTGTGTCCCGTGGGCAGGAGTGAGGTTCAGGAGAGCCCTGCCCCCCTCCCTCCTAAGATGCCTTCCTGTGGGGTCACCGCCGCCCTCTCCCAGCCACTCCTCTCTGTGCAGCTGGGTGGGGGCACAGGTCCCCCACGGGGAGGAGGCAGGGCCATCTCTGCCAGGATGTCCCCTCCCTTTCCCCCCTCCCCAGGAGGATGCCCAGCAGGGAGGAAGGATGGGACTCAACGGTTTTCCTTCCTTCCTCTGGCAGGTGAGACGCCAGGCTGGGAGACAGACCGGAGCTCTGACTTTGCCTAAAAAAGGAAGCAGCTCAGCTAAGCCTGAGGAGCTGGGGCAGAAACAAGCAAGAGCTGTGTCCCCGCCGTCCCCCCCCACCCCCCCGCCGGGAATCTTGGCAGTGCTGGGGCTGGCTCAGCTCCACAGACCTCAGGCCTCGGCTGGGACCAGAAACTGCCTGGTGCTTCCGCCTGGGCCCCGGGGGGGCAGCAATGGGCTCGAACCCCCAAAGTTCAGGGTGTACCGCCCAGAGGGACCGTGCCTGGCCCCCAGCCCTCCGGCACCCGAGGCTGAGCAGGGCTGCTGCGGAGGTGGGGCTGTGAGCGGAGGAAGCTGGAGAGCCGGGGGCCCCCGCGGGGAGCTGACCCAGGTGCAGACGGCACACATGGCTTGGCACCTGTTCTAGCTCGCTGGGCGCCCACCAGCAGGGAGCGGGCAGCACCGGATCTGCCCTGTGGGTCCCCACTCCTGCCCAGCGGTGGGCCCACTGTCACACCTCGGCTGTGCTGCTGGGCTGACGGGGAAGTTCCCGTCCCTTCTGGAAAAACTGAGCCACTCTTCTTGGCCATGACTCAAGCCCTCGAGGAAGCAGGCGTCCTCCTCCCTCAAGCCTCTCCGTCAGAGGAAGAAGGGACGGGGGCCTGGCCTTGGGAGTGGTCAGCCAGGGCCTCTCCCTAGCCTTGGCCGAGCTCGGCCACCTGCCTTGGCCGACAGTCCCTCCTGATGCTCGTGCTGAGCTCTGGCATGACCCCTGCAAACTGAGACCACCCCACCCCCACCGGGTCAGCTCTGCCCCCCTCAGTCCCCTGATCTGCCCTGTGGCTCAGCCGGCCACACCACCCCCTGCTGCCAGCGTCACGGTGAGTCTCCTCACCCCCCCCAAGGTGAGACATGGGCAGACGGAGGGTCCCCAGAGAACACAGGGGTCAGCCAGGGGTGTAGTGGTCAGGGCCAGGGCTGGGCTTGAGACAGACGCCAGAGGAAGCACAGATATAATGGCCGGGAAACATCCTTTCTGAAGCAAGACAGGCCTGGAGGCAGCGGGGGCAGAGAAGGACAGAGACGTCCTGGACACATCCGGCCCTGGCCCCAGCCCCCTCCCTCCCCCGGGGCCAGTCCCTGCCTGGCCCTGTGTTCTGGGGACCAGGAGGAGGGAGCAGCCTGTGGCCTTGGCCCAGTCCGGGAGTCCCCAAGCATCACTTCCCAGAGCTGGCGCACCCTGCCTGTCGGTTCACAGGCAGGTGGATAGGGCTCCACAAAACCCAGGGACAACGTTTGCTCTCCAAGGCACCGCCCCTGCTCCCCCCACGGTCTGCAGGAACGCACCCTCCTCCACACCGTCTAGGCCTCTGCAGAGAAGGGCCTTTTGTCCCCAGCTCACTGTGGTCATGTTGACCCCTGGGAAAAGGGCAGCTCCCGGGGCCTCTGACCCCACGCCTGACCCCAGCTGAGAGTCCGAGAGGCAGAGTGGCTCGGCCCCACCCCGCCCCGCAGAGATGCCTATGATGCTGGTTTTCGTGTCAGTTGTATCTTACACAGGCACCCACACACACACGGCTGGGAACACAGAAGCCAGAAGTGGGGGTCAGCTGCTGTGGGCCTGGAGGGTAGCGTGGGCGAGCCCGAGGCCCCCTGACTGCACGCAACAGTCACAGGAGCAGAGGGAAGGGGTGGCCAAGAGCGGCAGGGCCCAGGGGCCCCGGCTGACACCCACCCACACGTTCTTCTAGGCTCGACTTGCCTGTTTGTGGTCAGGGACGTGCCAGGGCCTAAGGGCCAGTCCTGGGGGTCTGGTGGTCCCATCGTCTCGTTCCCTAGGGGCTCGGGCCTGCCCCTTGTGGCCCCAGAGATGACCCCTGCCCAGTCCTTCAGCCAACAACACCGAGGGTGGTAGGGAAGACAGCTGATGGGGTGGGCAGCCTGGGTACAGGGGTGGGTGCCACCCCATCTGCATTCATCAGTTATCTGTGTGCTGGGCCCAGCCACACGACAGGCTCTGCACTGGGGACGTGCAGGCACTGGGCAGAGCCCCTGTCCTCCCAGCCCTGCCGGGCTAGAAGGAGGATGGGCAGCAGCGAGTTTGCAAAGATGCATGTCTACTCATCTTCCCCTTGGAGGGTGGGGTCATGTCAGACCAGGGGCAGGAGCTAGAGGAAGAACCAGAGCCCTGGGGTGGGGGCCTGCCAGTGTGTGTGAGGGCAGCAAGGATGCCTGGGAGGCAGAAAGGCAGGCAGGCAGCCGGTGTTCCTGGTTTTCAGCCTGTGCAGGGAACTGAACAGTGGTGCCCTTCCCGAGGGGGGACCCCTCCCTAGCTTGGGCTCCCTGTGCTGGAACCTTCTGTAACAGGGAGGTGACCCTCATACCCTGTCCTAGCCCCAAGCAGGGTTCAGGCAGGCTTACATAGGGAAA